GGCGTTTGGCCGATGAGCTTTTGCGTGTGCCACAACACCGCGGTGCCCGCCTGGAGGAAGTTGTCGCTTCCGTCGGCCCCTGCCCTCACGTTGCCGTGCTCTGTGCGAGTCGATTAGTGGGGGCCCGCCTCACGGCGGTATTCGGCAGTTTGCAGTCGTGGTCCGCGGAGCAGTGAAGCGCACTGTGCCTCATGCGGTGGCCAAACGCCCACCGTTTTGGACGCCGAAACGGACCGCCTTGGAGCGGCGACGAACGCGTCTCCGCAATGTCGCGGTTGCTCGCTGGAAGGAGCGGTGCTCCCGGCCGGCGCCGGCGGAGGCGGCACGCTGCGGCCTCGCCAGGGCAGTCTACGCCCGCGCCCCGCCAGTTTCCGGTTGTGGCGGCGGATGGCCAACCGACCGCCACAAAGGAGCGCGTCGGCACCTTGGCGGGAGTGTGCGCCGCCACGTCTGATTTCCCTTTGCGGAGCTTGGCGCTGCATCGCGGGAGATGCGTCTCCGGAGTGCGCCGGGGCTTGGTGCGCTTCACTGCGAGGCCCTGCGCCAACTGCCCCTCGCCGCCTGCAAGGAACTCGCGGCCGCATTCAACAGGAGCATCGGCGACGGTGGCGTTCCGGCTTCCCGTAAAGTGGGCATTGCAATTGTCCCACCCCTCAAGCCTGGGAAGCCGGCAAATGTTTCCCGCCCCGCTTCGGCCCGTCGCCCTCACCAGCTGCCCGCGCAAGCTCGTGGAAAGAATTGTGGCACGACGCACCCGCGGCACTCTTGAAGCCCAACTTCCTCCCCAGCAAGCTAGTTTTCGCCCTGGTCGCTCCACGCTGGGTCCGCTGACTCGCCTGATTGCTGGGATCATTTCACCGTGGCAAGCGGGGGAAGGTCGGTGCGGTGCTGGTGGGCCACGCTAGGGCCTTCGGCTCGGTTGATGATAGCCGCATCCTTCACGCACTCCGCGCGCACAAGTTGGCGCCGTGCCTGAGCCGGTGGGAGGCGGACTTCCTTCACAGCTGCACGGCCAAAGGTCCCGTGTACAAAATACGCCCACCGCACCGGTTCATTTCACCCGTGGCTTTCCGCAGGGTTACGTGCTCGGCCCGCCGCCGTTTATCTTTGCCGTGAGCAGCCTCAGTAAGGAGCTGGTGTGCATCCCCAACCTTGAACTTGGGTTTCTTCGCCGATGACCTGACCGCCACCACTCGTGCCAGCGAGAGAGGGAGAAGCGCTATGGAGCGCACGTTGCTGCAGGCGTTGGGCAGCGTCTCAAGATGGGCAGAGCAGAAGCAAACATGGAGCCCAGCGCCGCGAAGACAAAGCGCGCGCTGTCTTGGCACCGCCCTCACGGACAGCATGGAACTGCACGCGGGAGAGGCCCGCTTGTCGCAGGATTGCCTCCCGCGATTCTTGGGGCGGTTATGATCCAGTCATTGCGCGGGGTTGGCCGGCAGGTGCGGGGATCCCTTACCTCCGCAAAGAAACAAGACTTATGAAGATCAAGGCGGTGTCTGTGAGAACACGGGGGCCGAAATGTGAGACTCTTCGTCCGCTGCCCAAGACCCTCACTGTTGGGTCCTCCAAATTCCTCTACGGGCAGTGGCGCGCTGCAACACGGCTTCGCTGTCGACTCTGGAACGCCTTGAGAAGTTCCACATCCGCGCCGCCGGCGTCATCGCTGGAGGCGCTGCGTCGTTTCGGGGTACCCAGTGCTCTCTGCAGTTGTGCGTGCGCAGTGGCGAGTTAGGGCGACACGCCGAGCCTCTTTTTCGCCTTCCAACCCGACACACTCAGCTCTCCGCCTGATAGCGGGTAAGTTGCACGAGCATAGGTGCTTTTGGCCCGCCCCATTGCCGCGGAGCCCCTCGATGCCGCCAACGCGCGTATGTACTTTGACACGTCGCCGCCGGCTGGATTGGGCGCCGATGCCGATCCGGAGGAGAGACACAAGGGATGCATGCTGCTGGCGGAGTCGAAGGCGCATGCCCCCACACTCTCTCAATGGGCGGACGGCTCCGTAGAGCTCGGGGTGGGGACTGGTTGCGCCGCCCGCTTATTTTGCCGCCAGACACGCGTCCGTGCGGCATGAATTGCAACGGCGGCGGCTTGCTGGCGCGCGGCTGCCGAGCGGAGTGCCTGGCCACGGAACAGAGTCCCGCTGAGCTCCTGCTGTGCGCACTGAAAACTTCCGGCAGGCGAGTGGCGGGCGTATTTGCTGCCTCACCGTCCCTTCTCCTGAGCGCACATGGAACGGGCCCGACCGGAGTCACGGACGGGGTGCTCCGTCGTGGTGTGTGCCTCTGCTTTAACTACTTCTTTTTTGGCGCTGGGGGAATCGCAGGACGCACCGACGTGGATCGCGGAAATCCGCGCCTCTATTCGCCGCTGCCGCACAGAAAACTGGGGGGGGGGGAGGCTGCCGAGGCCCAGCGCCGGCGCCTCGTCGGAGATTGCACGACTCCGAGAGCGGTTCCTCGCGGGTGCCTCGCTTCACTTGGGTTGGGCGCACCGCATCGTCGCGCAGTCAACAGGCCCCCCAAGAGTGTCGGTGGTGTCGGCCGCCCGAACATAGAGGAGCCCCCTCCTCAGGGAAACCCTCCCCCGCACACGCCGTCTGTCGCTCCGGCAGCCCAAGCGGACTAGGCGCTGTTTTGTCAGGCATGCTCCCAGGTCTGTGCGTCAGGCGGTAATCTGCTCTCTTGCGCAGATGTTCAATCACCATGGCCTCAGCAAGGCGCAGGCTCTAAGGGCGGCTAAAGGGGCCCTGGCAGCCGCGCCGGAGAGGCGCGTAATCGTCTGCCTGAAATGCAGCTTCACAATGACTGACAGAGAAGCGTTTCGGGTGCACGTGACGACGAAGCATGAGAAAAGCCCACCCGCGACGGTGACTGTGATTCACGAGGCTCTCGCCGCACCGCGCGCGAGAACCCCGGTGTCTTCTCCACCGCCCTGGCCGCCGCTACGAGAGCGCGTCAACCAGCGCGCCCTCGACCTTCGTCGTCCGGCTCGTGACAAGCGTTACAGAATGCAGGACCGCCTTGACTGTCACAAATGCCCACTGCTGCCGTCAACGCACCCTGAAGGGTCCTGCGATGGCTGAGTTCTCTCGCGACCACCCAGACCGCCCCCTGCCGGGCATTGCCATTGCACCGCAACTAGGGAAAGTTCCCTACTTTCGGTGTGAGTGAATGCCCAAAGCGCCTCAAATGTTTATACTGCTTGCAGGCCAAACATGTCAGGTGGGCTGCCCGTCACGCGAAGGCGGCGCACCCCACCGAGGCGATCCCTCTGCAAGAAGACACATGATTCACGTGATGCGTTCCGGGCACGCATTGGCAACGACGCACGACCCCAGGCTGCCCCCAAACCCGTCCCCAACGAGGTCACCTCCTTCCCCCCTCCTCTTCCCATACCGTCGCAAGGCGTGCGACACATGGCATAAATCGCGCCCGGGATCGTTCGTACATATGCAACGGCAGCACACTAATAAAAGTGATTGCGATGACCGCGGAGGTGACACCGAGAGGAGCTCATGCCAACGATCCCTCGACGAGAGGTGCAGTGTCCGCACCGCCCCTCCACCCTTTTTCACGGCTTGCGCACACACTTGTCACCCATGTTGGCAGATTCCACAACAAGGGCAAGGCAAGGCGCAAAACCAAGCCGTGGTTCAGAAACGGCTTGTGCGAGGAGACGCCGGAGCACTTGCTCTCCTGTGCGGCCCTTCCCGCTCGATGAGCCAAACTTGGCCTGGAGGGATTGGAGGCACCCGAGCTCTATTTGAGTGAGCCGCTGGCTCGGCTCCTTTGTGCTATGTTCGTTCTCCGAAGCCCTGATCTGTTCCCCGTCTGTAACGAGAATGTGGATTCTGTCGCTCGTCCGGCGGCGGAGGGAGCGGCATTAGCTTCTAGTTTTTATTCTTTTGCATCGGCTTTATGCAACAATTTGGTAACAGTATAAAATGCCCCTGAAAACACAGATCGTGATTTTCCTGGCCCCCCCCCCATGTTTTGGAGGAAACGGACCGGCAAGAGAGCTCGGATTCAATTTCTGCTCCCTTCCACGAAGGGGATGTTGCTACTGCTGGAATCTCCTCAGAAGGGTGGCGGAGCTGCACGTGCGGCGGAAGAATGTTTACGTGGGTGAGGGGGTAGCCTTTTCACGCTACTCCTCGTTGCTGCGTCCAGAAAACAATATGCAGAATTGTTGGTGAAAGCAGTGAAAAGGGAAGAAGGAAAAACAACTGCCGCCTAAAAAGAGGGTGTCGCCTAATTTGATTTTTGCACTTGCAGGGTCCTTCTTTGTCGGACGGCCGTTGGACGCTTTATCTCTCTTTTCTCTCTCTAGTTGCCACTGCTGCTGTTAGGAGTTGCCGGCGTTGCTCAGGGCGAGAGGGCGGGTGGCGCACGTGGGGGAAGTACGTGGAAGCGAGGATTGGCGCACGAATTTCGAGTGGGCCTGCTCTCGATGTCGTACGTGACGCTACGGTCCGACTTTGCGGCGTGCTCCGAGTACCGCCTGCTGGCACTGGAGGCGGAGTGCGTGCATGGTCTAAAAGAGAGGCTGGCAGCACAAGGACCTGCGGCCTCCGCAACGGCAGCGGCGGAAAACGGCACAACGTTGCTCATGATGAAGGGCACCTCGCAGTTGCTGCTCTGTGACGATCGCCACACCTACCGCCTACGTCGTGTGGAGTACTCAAATACACTTCTTCTTGCCGAGGAGCGCCCAATGTGTGAACGTGACAGCGAGGCCCTGAAGGGTGCCTCCGCACTAGGAGGCAGTGCACCCTCCAGGGCTGAGGCCACCTCCAAACACGTTGTTATTAGCGCCGCGGAGCGCCTCTTTGAGGCGAAACGGTCTTGTGCTTATCGAGATGCGTTGAGGCTAATAAAGGCCGTTCCTGTCACCATTGAGGAACTTGAGTCTGAGTATGGCCAGCGACCAGGCGGTTGCGCTGCGGGCACGACGGCTTTACCCGACGGCATTGGTGGTAGTCAACGATATACATTTCCACAACTTGTGTCGATGAGCCAATGTAGTGCAGGAGAGCTGTCAGATATGCTTTCGGATGCAGGGGCTATTGTTGTCCACGGGCGCGTTCGTCTGTTGCATCCCTCACTTTTGCGTGAGGCCCTTAAGGCAGTGATCGTTTTCATGGAGGGGTGCGAAGAATTGTCCTGGGGCGTGGTGGAGAAGCATTTTTGCCCGTCTGTTTACCCAAGCATTGTTATCCGTGTGGTCCAAAGAGTCTACGGTGCACTGACGCGTGTGGAGGGGAAAGAGGGGGCAGCGGCGTTACTTAACATGCAAAAAGTGCTTGCGGCGCTGGCTGAGGCTGCCATTGTTGCTCTCGCGCCTTCTGTCGGCGGTGAGGAAGTGCGCCCTCAAGGTCGCGGAGACGAGACGCCTTTCTTCTCTTCGGTTGACTTTGAGTCCTTTTATAGCACGTGGATGGATAGCGTTCCGAGTTCCTTTTTTGCATCGGGTGAAATTCCGCCGCTATGCGAGCCGGCGGCCTTTATGTCGCTGTTGCACGCCGTTGTCATTGTCCGCGGGGCGCGTGGTGACGGCTACGCCGGCGCGACGGTTGTCTGGGCGCCGCAGGATGAGCTCGCCACCGACCTGTCGCGGCGCATAGAGCAGCTGTTTGAGCTGAACCCTGGAAGATGGGAGGCAGAGGCGTTCCGCGCGTACGTGGAGCCGCTCCTGGACCCCGGCGTGACGCTCGAGCAGGTGGTACACCGGCACGCAAAGGAGTTCCACACGCCAAACCAGCCAGTGAGGTACGGGAGACTCGCCTGATGGGCGGCGCGACGCCGCAGTAATGTCTTCGCCCCTGCGGTGTTTATCGTTTTAATTTCCTGTTGCTTTTTGTAGTGGCTCATTGTGTTATTACAATTTTTATTGTTGCCATCTTGCTCGCTCGCTCGCTCTCTCTCTCTCTCTCTCTCTGTTATTGTTGTTGGTCTTCCTTGGTACGACAGTTGCGTCGGGTGTTCGGCTTTGTATTCCAAGTGCTGTCTCCGCGTCAACGCACGAGAAGACGACACGCAGGGAGAATACACAGACACACACAGCACACACGCTGAAGGTCGCAACCCGACCCTTTCATATACCGCAACGACGAAACTACTCAAGGGGGGAAACGGGGAAGAAAGAGGTGAAGGGCTTGTCTGAAGTCCAATAATGTACGTAAACAGTGGTGTCCCTGGACCTCTGGTCCGCGTGCAAATAAGATCTGTTCGAGGAGAAATCATGGACGTGGAGGTCCCTATAAATTGCACGGTGGGTCAGTTGCGTGAGTACCTCATCGGGTATTACGGCTACATGCCGGCGACGTCTCTTGTCTACAACGGGCACGTTGTTGGGGATGACCGTCTCGTGCAGGAGTTCCCGTTTGGGTCGCTTGTGCTTGTCAGCCCACAGGACGGGGCCCAGTGGTGCTTCCCGGCGCAGCAGCGTCCTCAGTCACAACACAACCAGAGACAGTACCGTGCTCAGCGGCAACATCAGCAGCATCAACATCAGCAGCATCAACAACTGCAGCGTCCCGGTTCACGTGTGCGGCAGCAGCAGCAGTACCACCCGCGTCAGCAAGAAACACAACAGAAACAGCAACGAGAACGGGAAGATCAACTTGGCCTCGATTTGCGTGAGCCGACGAGTGAGGCGGTGGATGCGTTGTCTGGATCTATGCACAGTCGGGGTTATTCAAACTCCATGCATTCAGGCGGAATGAGAACACCACGCAATAACAATGACAAAAAACAGCCTGGTCGCTTCGGTGAGCCTGAAAAATCGGATCCTCACCAGTCTACTCCTCCACAGCGAAGTCCATACCGCAATATACTCGACGAAAAAAAGAATTATTCTAACTCGATGGGGAATCATCCTCGTTCAACTGCTCCAGTACAAAGCACAAATGAAAACAGCTCACCGCCCAAGTCGCCTCTGCTTCATCCCCAAGTCACGGCTTCAACGCATGCGTCGCCGAGTCATCGGGACTCCAATGCCGAGGCGACAAAGGCGTCCTCGGACGCTGCAAGTGACGCGGCACCCATAGCCCCGCGGATATCACTCAAGTGTATGGCTCCTGCACTGAATAAGAGCATTCGTCTGGAGTTGCCTTCTGACGCCACACTTGGGGACTTGTTGCTGGAAGTTCTGTCCCAAGAGCCGCGCCTTGCTGGCGCCAAAGTAGTGTTTCGCGGGAAAGTACTGAGTGGGTCCGATGCTAGGCTGAACTCTTATGGGATCAAAGGTGGTGCGCCTCCCGCGTCCTTGATTTCAATAAATCCCGATGCATCCGGCCTGTACACGCTGTACTTTGCCTCCGATGTATACAGCGAGCCCCAGAAGGCTATGCTTCTCGAGATCGAGGGGGATATAGCAAGTATTGAGGCAACTGTTAAAGGCGGGGACTTGCCAATGCAGCGGCGTAAAGGTTACTACGAGGAGCTGATGCGTATTCTCTTCAGGACGGATAATCTGCAGGACCTTGAGGGTGAGTGGCGTTCCAGGCGAAAGGATGCTGTTGTGCGTGTGACAGAGCTGCAGGACATGTTAAATGTAGAGAGTGTTTCCTAATAAGGCGAAGACGTGGGGTGAGGGGAGAAAGTGAGAAATCGGGGCATGTTGGGGAGCAGTAAGGGCATGGTTTATTATACGCAAAGAACGACATCAAGGAATGTATATGTTTATTTATACATTTGATGGAGGAGAAAAGAGAAGGGAATAAACTGGAGCTGGTTTGAGTTGTTAAATATTCCTGAATGCTGCCCATCGTTGCAGTGGTAGTGATGTGAAGCAACGACAGGGTAAGGTTTAGTTTGCCTTCTCCTGCTGGGTTTGTTTTCCTCTTTTCCCCCTCTTTTCTAGCTGGCTGTTATTGGGCGTACGTAGTTGGAGTTCCATGCGTAGAAGGGCAGGGATAAGGAGAAATGTGGAGGGTTTAGGCAGTCAACTGCCTTGACGAAAGACGTGCAATATTTGAGGTTGTCTACCTCCTCTTTCTTGTTATTGTTTTTTTTTGTCTAAAACCCCTTCAATGCTTCTTGAAGTTGTTTTATTGCTGGTTGGTGGTGCGTGGCGTACTCCTCCTATCGGTGCGGTGGTCCCTTCTCCGTCTCCTCCTCCTGCAGCTGCTGCTGCTGCTGAATGTTTTTCTATTTCTTTCGGGGCCGTAGCGGCAGTGTGTGTGCGTGTATGTGAGTGTGTGTGTGTGTGTGTGTGTGTGTCCGGGTGGGTGTGCCGGCGGTCTGAGTTTTCCCCACCCCGCTCTCCCGCCACGCCGCTTGATGAACGGTGAAGCGCAAGAACGCAAGCTGCGAGGCACGAAGCGGGAAAAAGGAGAAGAGGGAAGTGGGGTAACCGTCAACACGCGTTTGTGTGGTCGAAGCAGAGAGGATGGCCACGCAGGTGCCACGGTTCGGCTCCGGCGGTGGGGAGCGGGGGGGGGGAGAGATAGCTGCGCTCCGGTGTGCGGTGGCGCTGCCGTTGGCTCCCGTTCACTCACCTCTCACGCTTCACTCTTTCCTTCACAGCTTTTGGCCAACGCCATGCATCGAGTTCTCCCCACCACATATGTCGCGCATGTCTCTTCCGGTCGTGCGTCTGTGCGTACGTGCAATGTGTACATATATGGCAGTACATTTGCGTAGTTGTGCATGAATTTCTGTTGAAAACGCCCACGCATACATTTTTTTTTGCTTCTCTCCCTTTTCTCTCTCTCCCTTGCCTTGCAGGTTTTACGGTCCTAACAGCCTGCCCATCGTCCTCGCCCGTCGAGCGCGTCACCACCACAGTCAAGTGGCGCCTCGCAGCAGGAAAAGCCGCAGTAAGCAAAAACAAATAGAAAAGGACAAGTTGAACTTACAGATACAGTGAAAAGAACCCCACCTCCACCATAGGTGTTTCTGCATCTCCTTCTTTTTTGAGTGTTTTTTTTCTTTTCTGCCTTCTTGTCGGTTTCAGCTTGTTTATTTGTTTTATTGTTATTATTACTATATATTTTATTTACTACCGTTCTTTTTCGTTTTGTGGCTTTTTGGGCACCGGACGCGTGCACCCCTGCCCTGCAAACTACCGTTGGCTGCCTCCCTCCTCACGCATGACGCTGACGCCGACACGACAGCGGAAGCGCAACAAGCGCTGGCTTTGCGTCGACGTCCCCTCCGTTGAGGAGCTCGCGGGGGTTCCCGAAAAGGAGCTTGCAGCTCGCACCCTGCCAAAGGGATTTTATCTCTGGTTCCTCGCACATCACATGCGCACCATCTACGCCGCGCTTTCCGAGCACGTGTGCCTCACCCACGGGGTGCTGGACTACCTCTACGACTACCTTCGCTGGGGGCCGAACAGGGTGCAGGACAAGCTGTTTCTATGCGCCTCTTACAACAAGAGTAAGAAGTGCAGCAATGGGTTTCTTTGCCGCGAAGTGCACTGTCCCTTCAGCACGGAGAACGCTCTGGAGGCCAATGCCTTTAACATCTTCAGCAACGCCAACGGCTGCCCAACCTCGGCGGAGCCGAAGGAGAAGGGCCCGCACCCCCCGTCAAATGTGTTGCTCTGGCATGCGCTGCACTCACGATGGACCCCGTCGTGGGCGTATCCCGTCCTCCCTTCAGGAGTCACGTTCCGTGTGGCGATGCCGAACAATCCCAAGCCTGTTGAGGAGTTTGATAGTGGCCGGCTCTTTGTGACCAAAGTCGTGCAGGAGCATTACGGGCGTCTCCTACGCAACGAACCCCCAGCTGTCGCCCTGCAGCACTGTGCCAACTACTCCAAAAATGGTGTCTGCTGTTTTGGCCCGAATTGTCAGTTTGTACACGTCGTGAGCTACCGCGGCGAGTGCGCTGAGGCGGATCAGTCCTTGGATGGGGACTCTACAAGGAGCGTGGGCTGCAATAAAAGAGCCTCCCATTCGACGTCAACCGCACAGCACAGGAGCAGCATGTCGCTCACGGACAGCTCCGGGGAAACCCTGACGACAAGTTACTCCATGTTGCACCTTTCGCTTCCATCCTCGCCCGCAGCCTCGGCGACGGCGTCGTCGTGCGTCGTTCCCACGCAAGCCATGGCACCTGAAACCGCTATACCAAATACGCAGCTTTTGTTTTTTCCGGCGTCTATGCTCCAAGCTGGGAGTTCGCCGCAACACGGAGATCGCATCCAACGGCAGCCGCAAGAAGAATTCCAACGGCATCAATTCCGGTCTGGTCTACCGCCCGGGAATCTAACCCCTTTCACTCCCACATCACCGGTTTACCTCGTGCAAAGGGCAAAAGATCAACCTTCCTTATCGGTTCAGGAGATGTATACATTCATGCTCCCTTCACAGGAAGTCAACATGAATGGGGCCCCACCTCTTTGCTTCATGCCGTATTAAGCGTCTGTTATGGACAGGGCGCCAAAGAAGGTGCTGTGGGATGGCGGGAGGTGAAACGGCCTGTCTAACTTTGCTTCGTACTGATGTTTACGAGTGAGTCACTATCAATTACTTGCGAGTTTTTTTTGTTACGTGTGTGTGTGTGTGTGTGCTGCCCTCAGTGTTCCCTTTCGATTATCGCGTATGCGCTGTTTTTTGGGCTTCTCGTTTTGCACTTGTGTGATTTTTGCGTTGGGGCTTTTTTGGTCGTGTTTAGCTGCTTTGTGTGGGCGGTGTTCGACGCTGCGGCGTGGAGCTCAACAAGCGGCGCCGTCCAAGAGCAGCGAGCGTGTGTGGGCGTCTATTTATGTGCGTGTGTGTGTGTGGCGTGGGCCGCCGCTGCGCCGGCGCCGAGCCCACGAGGGAAAGAGCCATGGGCCCAAACCCAAACTTCACGCGCCCGCACAGAAAAGTGGGGGAAGAAGTTAATGAAATTTGTTAAATAAAGGCGCACGCAGGTCTGTAGGCGACGGAGGTCTCCTCAGGCATTTGGCGAAGGAGGAAGCGAAGCATAGCTCCCCTCCTCTTCCTGACTGCGAGCTTCTTGGGCGCCAATGAGTTGGTTTTCACTTGCTCGCTGTCTTGCGCTCCGGGCGCGGTGTGCGAGAGCACGCCGCCGGGAAAACGGGGGGAAGCGTGAAGGCGAGGAATAAGCGACCGGCGTCCGCGTAGGGTGGGGCGGCAGGGACTCCGCACCGTTAACTTGATGCGTCGAGAAACGATGAGTTTCATTCGTAGTGCGGGGGGGGGGAACGAACCGTCGGTGAGGCTGCGAACATGCACTCATCGTCTGACGCAGTACTTTTCCCTCCGCCCAGTTAGTTCCCAACCTACATAGACATGAAGTTTGCCGCTGTTTTGCTCGTTCGCGTGCTTATTGCTCCCTCTCTCCTTCCCTTTTCTTCCTTCGAAACCACTCCTTCCCCCTCCCTCCGCTGATTTTGAACGCCCGACAGTTCCAATACAATTGGGGCCGTGCGCGCGTGCCTGCAGCTGCCTGAGTGTGGCACGGGGACGACAAAACTATTTCCCGAATAACACAAGCCAGTGATGCGACAGCCATCGACCTGCATAAGGCGTTACGGCGGAAGCAGCGGGGCGACGCTGGGGGGGAGGGAGGCAATGCGGGAGGGGAGAGAGTTGCCTGGCGTGCCACCGCTGTGCGCGGAGGAAGCTAAGAGGTGAAAAACAAGCCCATAACAGCCTTATTCTCCTTATTGTTTTTGTTATTGTTTTATTATTTTTCTTCCGCGTCGCATCCTTTGTACTGGTTTGTATTTATATTTGGTATTGACGATGCTACTCCCCCGTTGCTCGGTGTTTAGTGGCGACCATTCATTTCAGTGAAAGTGCCATAACAGCAACCGAGCACGAGAACTGTAGAAACGGGTGGAGAATAACAGGCGGGAACGAAAGATTAATATACATATATACATATATATATATATGCAATCTGTGTGCGACTCGCTTGCCTTTTTATACGGCCAATAATTCTCTCTCTGCAGCACGAGCTGCTCTTTTGTTGGTTTTTATTTCCTTTCTTTTTTTTTGTGTGTGCGTTCGTGTCCTCCCAGCCACGAACCTCCCCCTCCCCCACTACGACTACTCTCCACGCGGAAGAGTCCGGCTGTCGCGGGGGCTCTACAGACTTCCGGTTTGTGGGCTCCCTGCGAGGGGCCGGTTATCGTAGCACGTGTCTCTTGAATATTTTTTTTGTCTTAATCGTGTGTGTGTGTGTGTTTGGTAAACCTCAGAAGCAGTGGGGGATGTTGGGCGTACAGTGCGCCAGGCTGCCATCCCCCATCGTGCCGTCCCTTCAGTTTGTGGGGGTACGCGGGGTGTGTGGCCTCATCCAGGCGCAGCTTCGCTTTTATCCCCTCCGTCCGGCACTGTTGCTGCTGTGGGCACACGCAGTTATTGTTGCTGGGGTCGGGCGGCTCTAAACAGACATGAGAAGAGTACGAGAGATCCGGGGAGTGGCCCGCGGTGCGGCTTTTCTGTGACGAGAGCCGGAAGAGGAAGCAAAAAACGAAAATATGGTGGGGAGAAGGGCCAAGTAAAACCACGAGGGCGCACTTGGGTGAGTGCCATCACTGAAATGTAACGGAATTCCCCAGCAAGACAAGAGCAGCAGCAGAAGATTGTACACAAACCCCATGTCACCCACGCCGCCCACATTGTTATGTGCAGCTGATGCTTCTTTTGGTGCCGCGTCTGTGTGTGTAAATGAAATGACGGGCAAAAAAAGCTTCCAACAAGAAACAATGGTCAGTTAATGGAGCGAATAATTTAAAAAAAGAAAGGGATGGGGCGGGTGTGGGGGGTGGCAACGGGGTGTGGGCTGCCGCGTAGTTTATATATGCATTCTGTACTTTGTATAAAATGCGGCATGCCTTCCCCCCCCCCTGTCAAGGAACCCACTGCGGCGCAGAAAAGAGCAAAGCCACGGAAGCAAAAAGCTTACAAATGAACGCGTCCATAACTGTTTTGCGGTTCTGCTGGCTTGCCTTCAATAAGTCCTCTTTCTCCTTTCTTACTTTCTCTCACTCTCTTTCCGTGAATTCGAGCCTTTCACTATAACTTGTTGTCGTTGCAGTTTGCCTTTACGGGCCTCGCCAGTTCTCCCGCTCAACACTCAATTGTCATTCCCTTTTTTTTATTTGCGCTGAGGGACCGCCCTCCCCTCCACTTCTGTTTTTTTTCCTGCTTTCATGCGAGCCGGGGGAGGCCGCAAGCTGAAAGAGCTAAAATGGGCAGTGACTTTTTTTATTTATCTTTCCTGTTTTCGGTTGGGCAGCATCCTTATTATTTCTTCTCTCAGTATTATTTTGTCCTCGCTTTCTATTTCCGTCTTTTTCTCTCACTCACTCACTCACTCACCCACTCACTCACTCTCTCGCATGGGTTGTGGGCGCTTTTCCTCGCTGCTTCTGCGCGCTTCAGCGGCTCTGCCAAGCCTGCAGCTGTGCTGGTGTAAAACTTAGCCTTTTCCTCCTTTTCTTTTTTGTATATTTTGGGTTTCAGGTGGAGTTTTGTGTTGGCCACACACACACACACGCCCGTTCCGCGGCACGCCCAATGGAGGGTTCACAGGTGAAGGAGCTCATTCAGAAGTGGCGCGCGCTCAGCAATGAGCTGAAGGAAAAGAATGCGGAGCTGGAAAAGACGCGTGCATCCTTGCAGGAGCTGGAGGGGCAGCACGCCAAGACGGTCCAGGACTGGGACCTGGAGAAGGCCAACATTCAGAACACAATCTCACTCGTGTGGGCCCAGGTGTCCAACAAGAAGGAGGAGCTTTCGCGCATCGAGAAGGAAACCTCCGACCTGCAGCTAAAGGTGGATGAGCGGCGCTTGCGCAATGAGGAACACTGGGGCGTGCTGAATAAGCGCAAGCAGGCGGTCGCCGCGCGGTTGCACGAGATAGAAGAGAAGGAGAAGGATACGAAGGAGGGGCTGCGCCAGTTTCGCGAGGCGCGGGAAGAAGGCAGGCAGCAACTACTCACCGCCATCCGCAAGTTAGAGGACGCGGAACAACAGGAGCGGGTGGATCATCAACAAAAGACCCGGCAGATGCGAACCAGGATTGCGGAGCTTGTGGCGACTGTAGAGGCGGAAAAGAAATCCTGGGCGCTCGACGCGGCAATGCGTGAGTGGAACCAAAGAAATGACGCACGCAGGTGGTTGAGCGAGGAAGCCAATACGGCCGAGAACGACAAGGGAGCGTGGGTGGATGTCATCAAAGAGGCCGGGTCGCTGCACTGTGACGATGCCCTTAAGGAGTTGGACACGCTTCGTGCCCTTCTTTCCTGTTAGAGGCATGTGACTCTTCACTCGCCCGCTCTCACTTTCCCCTTATACATTTGTCAGAGTGTCTTCACACCAGACTGAGAGAAGTGGCCGGGTGATTTACAGTTGGCTGGGGACGGCTCTCTCCCCTCCCCGCCCCCACCCCCACTCTCGCTTTCGCATGACTTTTGTTCTGTCTGTTTTCTTCTTTTCTTTTCCGTTTTAGATTTTACGAAACTATTATTATTCCCCCACCCCCCTTCGTCTTTTTTTGGTGTTGTTGTTGTTTTCTGCCTGCCTAGATACTGTATAGATGCTTACTTGGGAAGGGTGCTTCTTTGTGTGCAATGCTCGGGCCCTTTTTGGGGGAGTCTGCACCGCCGCAATTGCGTCACCGCTTATTCCTCCACTCTTCTCTGCCTCGCCAGCTCTGCCGGTGCCCTTTCCCCCAGACAGCTCTCTTGCTGTTCGTTGGGTTACTCCCGGCGTCTCGTGGTGCTTCCCTTTCGTTATTTATGCCTACTTGTTGTTGTTTTTTTGTTTGGCGCCATTTTTTTTCTGGTTGTTGTTCCTATTGCGTGGTGGCGGTTTTTTTGTTTAACTTTATTCTCTATCGCTCTCTCTCTTTATCTGTGCGCTCCGGGGCCTCGGTACAATAGACACACCGCCTTTCAAGTATTTGGATTTCGACATTTGGGTCCACTCTCCCGCCCTTTTCCCGTTGCCGGTGGATGTCGGTCCAGATTTGCATCCGCTGCCTCCCCCCGGGCTTTGACGAGCAGTCCCTCCTGCGTCTTTGCTCCTCCTTTGGCGATGTCGTCTCCTTCGAAACTCGGGGCTCTGCCGCCGGGGCTGCGGAGGCGGAGGAGTGTACGGCAGATGTGCAGTTTGAGGAGGTGGAGGACGCCTCTGCCGCCGCAGGGAACATGAATGGGATGGAGTTTGGCGGCAAGCACCTTCGCGTGTTTCTGAAACGTGCCGTTGCTTGAGGGCGCCACGAGACATGCTCGCACCTACCGGGTTCGCCTTGGCCTAAGAACGCGCGTGTAAGTAGGAGCGCATGTGTGTGTGTGTGTGTGTGTGTGACGGAAGTTGTTCCCTTTTTTATTTCCCCTCTTTCCCATTTGCGTTTGTGCTGCTCCTCACACGTGCCTCTTCCCTCAATTCTTCTGGGGCGTAGAAAAAGCGAACGTGGAGAGCGCGTTATTACTTATTTTCGCACTGCTGCTGGTTGCGGGGAGGCAATGGAAACGCAAGGGACCGGGCAGGAGTACGTTGTCATTCTTGACGCCGGCTCGCAGTATGGCAAAGTGATTGACAGGAAGATTCGCGAACTGAAGGTGGAGTCGCGTGTGATGCCGCTCAACACCCCAACCGAGACTCTCCGCAGCGACCGCCTAATCAAAGGCATCATTATCAGCGGCGGTCCGAGCTCCATCTACGACAAGGATGCTCCGGCGTTCAACTCCGACCTCTTTGAGGTGGGTAAACCGCTGCTTGGCATCTGCTACGGAATGCAGCTTCTCACGCGGGCCTTTGGAGGGAGCGTCGGCCAAACGGACGTGCGAGAGGACGGCCAAGACGAAATATGGGTTGACTCAACCTCACAGCTCTTCGAAGGGCTTTCTTCCAAGGAAAAGGTTCTACTCACGCATGGAGACTCTATTACGGAGTCTGGGCCAGAGCTTAAGGTTATAGCACGCAGTAGTGCCAACATTATTGCCGCCGTTGGGCATCACCAGCTTCCTTTGTTCGGTGTGCAGTTTCATCCAGAGGTGGAGCTTACGGAGCATGGAATGCATATCTTCAAGAATTTCTTGACTCTCTGTGGCTGCCACTTTACCTTTACGATGGAAGACCGGGAACTGGTTGCACTTCGCATGATTCGTGAACGTACGGCTCAAGGACAAAAAGTACTCTGTCTTGCCTCTGGTGGGGTTGACAGTACCGTGTGTGCGGTGCTGCTGCTCAAGGCTCTCGGGCGCGAGCGGGTGGTGTGTGTGCACATTGATCATGGATTTATGCGTCTCAGGGAGAGCGATGAAGTGGTGGCCGCTTTAGAGGCAGCTGGGGTTTCGGTGCTCCTCGTTAATGCCTCTGAACAATTTGCTCAAGCGACGACGGAAATGCCCGCCAGGCGCACACGTGCACCATATACGACAGGGAAACTCTCTGAGGTGATAGACCCGGAAGAGAAGCGTGTGATTATTGGCGATACCTTTATGTCCGTGTGCGATGCTGTTGTTAAGGATCTTCAGCTGGATGTGAATAACCTGCTTCTTGCCCAAGGCACTTTGCGCCCAGACCTCATCGAGTCAGGGTCCCCGTATGCCAGTCGTACCGCGGATGCCATTAAAACGCACCACAATGATACCGCCGTTGTTCGCCAGCTGCGTGAGTCTGGTCGAATTATAGAGCCTCTTTGCGACTACCACAAGGATGAGGTACGGGAGTTGGGTGTGCGGCTTGGTATCCCGTCACACTTGGTGCAACGGCAGCCGTTCCCTGGGCCTGGGCTGGCCATCCGCACCCTCTGCAGCGACGGCACACCCTACAAGGACGAGTTTTATGCGTCAACAGTTCAAGTTGTGCGGGCCATCTGCCAGGGAGAGACAAGCATTGAACTGGTAAAGCCGCTGGGTGAGGCCCTCAAGGAGCTCCAGCCAGCCTCTTGTGTTCTGCCCCTGCGCACGGTTGGTGTTCAGGGCGACGGCAGAACCTACGCCTATGCGGTGGCTATTTCCACCGGTCGCTTTCCAGCGGAGGCGGAGTGGCGGACGCTCAGTCGCTTGGCGCTTGTCATCCCAAAGGTTGCACGGCACGTTAATCGTGTAGTGTTTATGTTTGGGCCGAAGCGGGAGGCTGCTCCGGAGTGTGTCACGAAAACGACATTGACTCCCGCCAGTCTCGACAAACTACGTATTGCAGACGACGTTGTAAACTCCACCTTGCTCAAGCACGATCTTGTGCGCCGGCTTAGCCAAGTCCCCGTTGTCCTCGTACCGCTTGGCTTTGAGGAAAAGGGGCAATACAGCATTGTGGTCCGTACGTTTATTACAAACGATTTCATGACGGGGGTTCCAGCGCTTCCTGGAACCCCGCTGATGCCGCTGGCCGCCTTGGAGGAGGTGGTGAATGCGTTGCAGCAACTCGAGTTTGTGTCACGCGTCTTGTATGACCTCACGGCGAAGCCACCTGGAACGACGGAATGGGAATGACACGGAGAGAGCCTGCCGGCCTCTCTGTCTCTCTATCTGCGCCTCTGCGTGCGCTTCGGTTAATTGCGCAATCTAAGGAATTAGGCATGTGCACGCAGGGTTTTAGTTTTTGACGCGTAAATCACCGTTGGTTTTTCGTTTCAGGATGAATTGTAGGGTAAGCGTGGTAGCAGCAGTAATAAAAGCATCGGGGAGGCAGAGTAAAGGACGGAGCCTCGCCGTACTTAAAACACGTGTGTGCCTGGGAACTGACGAAGGCGGTGAACGCCTCCATCGTAACAATAAACGGAGCCAGTGGCGGCCGCTTTTCTTCCTCTTCTGTTCCTCTGGGTTGCAGTTTCCTCGGCCAATTGCCATTGCTGTTTGCCTCTCGCCTTCCCTTTCTCGCTTTCTTCCTCGCCTTCTCCGTGGCGCACTTTGGCGGCCACCCGAAGGTACACATTAGCTTCGCCCAAACCACCATTGGAGCAGCGCAAAAAAAAAAAAAGTTCAAACGATAAAGCCTTTTCCTTTGCTCAGTGTCTTTTTAACACCTGAGTGATGGCGTGCGTGATGGGGGTGCCGACTATTGCCGCGGCTCTCAGCTGCACCGGTGCGCTCACGGAAAAACGGCACGTGGAACTCCCGCGCCCAAAGGCGGCCCCGACGTGTAGAAATACATTCAGCGTCTCCCACGCCTCGAAGCACCCTGACGCTGCGCTGGCAAAGGGCTTCTTGGATGAGCGCATTCCGCAGCAACGCATGGACATGGATGCACAACGCGGCGCCGTTCGCCAACACCAGCAAGTCAAGCGCCGTGAGATTACTGAATCGGCCGAGCGGAGGAACGCAATCGGCGCCAAGGAAAAGGTTATAGGAGTAAAGTGTTTAATGCGTCATGCCGCCGAGAAGAGTATTCGGCAGGCCCACGCGGCGCAGTATTGCCCGATGGTTATTCGGTTCATGCGGCAGACCTGGCAGGCGCTTCTTCAGCAAGTGCACACGTACCTGGGCGAACCCGGCGCCAGCGAAAGTCCAGAAGATGAAACGCAGCTTATTGTGGCCCGCTGCCGAGGAGCACTGGAAAATATATCGGCTCTCGGTGTGTGGTTTGCCGGGGCCATCTCGATTCCCTTTCGGCGCTACTCCGTTCGCGCTCCCGCGGAGGATGGCACGCTCCAAGACTTTGTCGTGATTGGCCTGGCGTCGTTCACCTACTCTTCCTACGTCATGGACGACCGCCGCCTCGCCCAGGAGGCCACCCTCGCCGAACTCGAGCGACTCTCCAAGCGGCTCGGCGTGAGTCTTCTGTTCCTGCCGCCTTTGGTCCTGCCGGAGGAACGCCTGCGGGGGAGCGGCGGTTTCGCCCGCGGCGAGGCTTCTGCCGAGCAGCTAGTGGTTGTGTAAGAGGATACCCAACGCAAGAAAAAAAAACAGCCCGTGTTTTTCGTTGTTGTTTTTTCGTTCTTTACAAGGAAGTAAAAAAAAAGACAAAAGTATGGGGGGTCACAGTCCCCCGTACC